CGCGCCTTGGGATTCGCAGCCCCAGAGAGCCTGCGGGAGCCAACAGGTGCGGACAAGGCCTTGGGCCCTGCGGTCCGTCTTGACTACGCGCTTAATTTGGCTGGACCTGTGACTAGCTGCAGCGAAACGTTGCTTGTGGATCGCGACAGAGCGCCGCGGACCTACCGTGCCAATGCCCAGGTCCTTACCGCTTCTGCCCCCCCGGAGGCGGAAACATTTCCGGGCCAAATCCGCGAGGATCCCCGGGGCGAGGTGGGGAGGGTTTGCAAGGGCCTGACTCTTGCTGGATCACAAAACCACTATCCCGAAGAAGCTGGCCTAGGCCCTCGCTGGCTCGGGCAGCCTGTGGGGAGATGACCTCAGCTTTACCGACGTGCCGCTGGCTCAGGTCATCCTCCCAAGACTCCAAGAGCAGGGGGCGGAAATTGGCGTGAGCCGTCTCCAGGATATCCCACATGGCCAATTTGGGAATGTCGACGCTCTGCGAGCACCCTGCCAGCAGGCTCCTGCCCGGAGTGATGATGTCAGAAACCGCCCCTGAGGCTCGGGGCCGCCGAGGCGCCCGGCGCATATCCAGGGCAAGGAAAAGTGGCATGAGCGGGTAGTCAACTCGACTGGCTATGTCCACCACTGCGTCGAGCCGAACATGATCATAACATTTTCCAGGTCCCAGAGAATCTGGATCCAGCTGAAACCCATGGCGGAAGCCACCTCGCAGCTGGTCTGGCGCAGAAGGGCCGCCCTTAAGGCCGACGGGTCCCTCGCAGCCCGATCCCAAAACTGAGCCCGCTCCGACGTCCAGCCCGCTATATCACAACGTCGAGATCGGCCCCAGACTCGGTAGAGACCCTGTGTGAGGGCAATTGGTCTGTCGGCCTCGACGACGCTCTTAAAACTCAGCTGGATTATGATCATGCGGACCTGCGGGGGCCAGGTGAGCGCGCGCTCGACCTCTCGTAACAGGTCCAGAAGTTGCTGATGGGCTTCCACTGGTAGCTTAGACCAGTCCCTTGGATTCTGAAAATCAGCCCCCTGACCTACCACAGGCCGGAACCATTTCAAAGCATCTGCAAGCTGGTCCCCCGTGAGCTGATCCCGATCACGGGAGTCCAACATGGCTCTGGCACGGAAATCCCCCCACCAGGCTGCCCCGGGGTCCTGTGTCCCCGCGAGCCAAAGGTGCCCCCAGAATTCATGCTTCGAGGCCAAGGCACCCTGCGGGTCAACAAGGATTTCGCCCTCCGGGGAGCGTTCACAGCTAAGCTCGGGAGCCTCCAACCCCCAAGTCTTGGTGTGAAGTGCAGGGCCCCGCTGCCCTTGCCAAGAGACTGCCTCGCCCAATCCTTGAAGCCCCTGGAGGACAGCCTGGAGAGGGAGGCCTCGAGGGAGCGGAGAACCTGACTTAGCATCTTGAGGGCGGCCGCCAGGCGATCCACAACAGCCTGCACTCCCAACTTTCTGCATTCTTCAAGCACGCGTTCTTCGCGCCCCTCCCCCAAAACACGGGGGAGCCGGTTGACGCGGGCAAGCGCCTCTGCGAATCGACCGGGGGCCAAGCCAAGCGGCCGAGACTTCCTACAGAGACCGTGCCACTCGACGAGCCGGGAATGGAGTGCGGACCAGACCCAGAGATTGGAGGTTTCCGCCAGCCACCCTTGCGGCTTAGTCTCCAACAAAGGCGCGTCCTGGACAGCGACCATCCAACCCCTATGCATGCTGGCGCCTAGAAAATCAACAGAGGAGTCGCGATTGGTGTGGCAGGACTCCGATGCGAGACAAAAAGCCATGTACGTTTCGCCGAGGGCCCGCGCAGGGGCCGAAAAATGGGCCCACCCAGGAGCCTGCATCCCTCGGGCAACTAAGGCACGGACCCTGGCTTGATGGACTTCCCAAGGGAGGTCTGGCCCTGCTGCGTGCACATAGACAGGAGGCTGGACTAATACGGTGTGGAGTTGGACAAATTTATCACAATGAAGCACTCCCGAAACACCCGTACGCGGCGAGGCCCAGGGGGACCAAGGATCCCAGCTCAGCACCAAAGTCCGGCCGAGGGCCTCGGACACAAGACAAAAATCTATGGTGCGAGCGCCTCCTGGGGCTGGCCCCCGTGCGCTACGGAAAACACCATGCAGGTAGAGCTGAATGCCGCTGGCCGCAACCTCGTTGGTCTCCATGTTCCAGTCCCCTGCTATGATGTACGGCTTCCCCTGGGTGCGAACATAGCCCGCGACCTCCGGTAGAATAGTGAGGTTTTCTCCCTGCAGGCCCAAGCCCGTGACCAGGTAGAGGACTATGAAGATCACGTCGCACTCCGCCATCCGGATCGTCTGGCTGGTCCACTGCGTACGTTGCCGTCCGTCTCGTTGTTCCTGCACTGCCTGCTTAACCTCTGGATGGAGGGGAAGGTGGTGGAGATGCTTCCGCACCATCGCCCACGCGCCCCCGTGGGTTCCCCCACGAGCCGTCGCAACTGCCGCCTCAGAGACCGTGGACCACCCCAAGCGCTTAAACCGCTTGATGGCCTGAATATGTTGGCCGCCTCGGAGGTGGTGCTCCGCGATCATGATAAGATCCGCCTCCTGGAAGCCCCCATCCTGGTTCAGGTAGTCCCAGGCTTTCTGCCCCCAAGACGTCGTGTTGGCAAAATAAAAACGGAAATTCGATGCCAACTTTCCTTGCCGCAGATACCTGCCGGCCATGCCGGTCGCCACACCAGAAGCGAGTCCACCCTGGTCGCCCTCCCTGGAAGTCGGCCCTGATGGCAAATCACTCGTCGCGCCAGCCGCGGCGCCACGGGCCTCGCCCGCCGCCGCTCGCTGGGGAAAACCCGCAGCCTCTCCAGCGCCACGTCCCCTTCCAAGGTCCCGTCGGGGGGGCGCAGGCCCCGAGGGGTCCGAGATCCTCAGGGCAGGCGCCGAAGTGACCGCCGGGCCTGCATCCCATCCCGAGGCGTGCCAATCAAGGCGGCGGGACGCCCCCGGAAAGCTCTCGGCGAGGTGCAACGCCATCTGGCTAAAGGCACTTGGGCTTCTTCTGCATGGACGCCCGAAGCTCATTGACCGTGGCCAGCTTAGCAGGATCACCATCGCAGGCCTCCAGCATCTCCTGCCAGGTCTGCTCCTCGATGGCCCGCTTGGCGCCCATGCTCGCCGGCTTGCCGCCGTCGGCCCAATCGTCGTCGTCATCCTCGCCTTCGTCGCCAGACGGGATGTGTTGCTCGACAGCGGTCTCCTGCGCAAAGCCGGGAACGGCGGCAAGCACTCCAGGCTCAGGGATTCCAGGGCCCCCAGGATCCAAGCCAGCGGCTGCAGCAGGCGCACGTGCAGCAGGTGCTGCTGCAGCGGCGCCTCCTGCTCCTGCCGGCCGGGCAGCAGCGGCGGCCGCAGGCGCCGGGGGCGCGGGCTCCCCAGGCGCGGCCAGCGCCAAGGCCGCGAGCAAGGCCCGCAACGGAGCCTCGAGCGGGCCCAGCGTGCCGTCGGGGACGCCGCGCATGGCGTCGGTGAGCTCCGTCGCCAAGAGGCCGAGGCCCTGGGGGGGCGTAGCGGGCGCAGCAGCAGGGGCCCGCCCAGCAGCCGCCTCCCTCGCCTCCTCCATGAGAGTCTTGACCTCCCCCTCCAACTTCTGGATTTTGACTCGATGATCGCATAAAGCCTGCATGGCCTCACGCGCGTGCTTCTCCTTCTTGCCCAGCGCGTTCTGTCTGGGCGGCCAGGAGCTGTTCGGCTTTTTGATCCACGGCTGATTGCGCAGACTTGAGCTGCTGCACAGACGCAATGCGGCCCAGCCCAAGCTTGGCCCTCCAGCGCTGCCCACGTAGGCGTTCGCGGGTGGACGGGTCGAGCGCCGGGCAGGCGGCGTCGAACTGCTCGTCGGACATCTGCAACCAGGGCTCGGCCATCTCGTCAGAGAGCTTGGCGCCCTTGGCGCCGCCTCCTTTCTTGGGCGGCTTCGGCTGGCGCACACCAGCACCCCCGCCTCCGAAGACTGGCGGCCCCATTGCCCACTGTCCCTGGGGCACATGATGCCAAGGGGCAGGAGTAGGGCTGTCAGGATTCCGACCATTACACTGCGCCTGCCTGCACTTCGGCCGAAAGCCGAAATTGAAATACCCGCATGTGCCACACTGCCAGCCATTCCCCAGATGAGACATCCGAGAGAGAAGCAAGCAACTATGACACAGAGTAAACCGTTCGCAAATGAGGGATGAAACCTCACTACAGTACCAGAAATGCAACTGGCAGATCGCTGTTGGGGGCCGTGAATCCCCCGTGCCAGAAAGAACTCTAGTCCTCGAGCCACCGCTACGGACTTGAGCCAAAATGGCTACGGAACTCCTCCTCCTCCTCCTCCTCCTCCTCCTCCTCTCTCTATTGCTGTCGCCCGCTGCCTGTTGGACAGCAACGGTCAACTATCCTCCCATGTCCTCCTCCTCCTCCTCCTCCTCCTCCTCCTCCTCCTCCTCTTCCTTCTCCTCCTCCTCCTCCTCCTCCTCTCCTCCTCCTCCTCCTCCCTCCTCCTCCTCTCTCTCTATTGCTGTCGCCCGCTGCCTGTTGGACAGCAACGGCCAACTATCCTCCCATGTCCTCCTCCTCCTCCTCCTCCTCCTCCTCCTCCGTCCTCCTCCGTCCTCCCCCACCTACTCTTCCTCCTCCTTCTCTTCCAACTCCTCCTCCTCATCATTATCATCACCATCACCCTCATCCTCATCCTCATCCTCATCCTTATCCTCCTCCTCATCCTCCTCCACCTCCTTCTCACGCTATCGCTGTCGACCGCTGCCCGTGGGACAGCAACAACCAGGTATTCTAGACTGTTATCCTCCTTATCCTACCCCTCCTCCTCCTCATCCTGATCCTCCTCCTCCTCCTCCTCCTCATCCTCCTCCTCCTCCTTTTCTCAGGCAAGGTGCCTGCCCTTGTTCCCCCTCCTCCTCCTCCTCCTCCTCCTCTTCCTCCGTGCTCTCTGCCGCCCGTGCTTTTCTGGGTGCCCCCCGCGCCGACCAAAAAGATTAGGACGTCGCCCTCGGCCAGCACTGTGTCGTCGGGAGGCCCCATGACGGGGTACTCGCCCTTCGGTCGAATACCCACACCTCGGTGGAGTGCTCCGGCAGGCGGAAGGGGATGAGGAACGGGTATTGAGAAGGGAGTGCGGTCGAGCTCCTCCTCCTTCTGCTCTTCCTCATCCTCCCCCGCGGTCTTCCTCCTCGTCCTCCTCCTCCTCTTCCCCTCTTCCTCGTCCTTCTCGGTGGTCATTCTACTCGTCCTCGACGGTATTGGTGTACATGACTGTTCATGATGCAGTGGTGCAGGACTCACTCACCATGGATTGCGCACACGTGTTGCAACTGGAGCCCACGGAATACAACATCCACCGACGAGGGAGGACGAGGACGAACTGAGGAGGAATGGCATCAGTCGCACGTCGGTGTCCGCTCGATGGCTCGTGCGACGCATCTCAGTCGAGAGGTCCGCATCGTCTGAATGGTATCTACAGGAATGCCCCAAGCCATAAAACAAGGCAGCTGGCAGTCGTTCTCAGGAGCAGCAGGAGGAGGATGGGGAGTTAGGGGCGGCGGAGGCGTCGGGGGGGGGGATGACTGTCGATGACTACGAAGAGAAGGAAGAAACATGGAGGGTGGGGAAGCGGGACAAGGACGAGGAGGATGATGATCTCCTCCCTCTCTAGCTCCTCATCATCGTCTTTCTTTTTCGCCCCTCACTGCGAGCGCATCTTCTCCTCCGTATCCCCTTCCTCCTCCTCCTCCTCCTCCTCCTCCTCCTCGCCCTCCCCATCCTCCTCCTCATCCCTGCCTCTCCTCCTCCTCCTCCTCCTCCTCCTCCATCCTCCCTCTTCTCCTCCTCCTCCTCCTCCTCCTCCTCCTCCTCCTCCTCCTCCTCCCCCTTCTCCTCCTCCTCCTCCTCCTCCTCCTCCTGCTCATCCTCCTCAATGTCATGCCATGCAATATCATACACATCTTAAGCTTTGGTATTGTAAGCTGTGCGGGTGCTTTGCTTCCGAGGTCTTGCGTGAACTTGGCAAGGTCTGCACCCAGCGTGTCACCACACATCGAGCTGTATATCTCGATAGGGTCTCGCGTGGTTTGTGGCCTAAGGTTTTAAGTGCACGTGAGAAGCAGAGCCGTGGTCGTGTATAGTCATGCCTTCATGTGTAATTCGTCACGTATGTTGGCACGTTTGACTTTGTCACATGGTCATACTCATACTCATACCTCCTCCCCCTTCCCCTCCCCTTCCCTCGCCCTCCCTCCTCCTGTTTTTCTCATTCTCCTCCGCCGATGGCGAGCGCTCGAACATCATTGCCCATCGAAGCGCTCTCTCCAACGCGATGATAAGGCTCATGCAGAGAAGCTGGTCGTTCTGCCGGCATGCCGCACCGAACGTCGTCCCCGTCAGGGCCTGTGCATGGTGGGACACGGTGGGGGCATTGGACAAGGAAACCTTAGATAAGGACTCCAGGGTCTGGATGCCAATGGAATTCTAATCGTGGACCGGCCCTGGGTATCACCGCCGCCCTCGTCAGATAAGAAATCCTCCAGGGTCTGTGGCCTCCTGGGCGCATTCCTAAACGAACGCTCCCACCGTATGATGCGGTGATGAGGAGGAAGGAGGCGCGGAGAAACGGGGAGCATGGGAGGAGGAGGAGGAGGAGGAGGAGGAGGCCGTCCACAAGAGGGGTGAGGATGACAGGGGCGCACAAGAGCAGGATGACGAGGACGAGGAGTGCAGTGCTGGTGGGTCCGTACAGGCTGTCAAATCAGAATCTGATGTCTAGGAGCCTGAGATCGTGATTTTCACCGCCACTGTGTCGGAACGTTCCCTCCAACTGTTGTCATCAAACAAACGATGTGTTGCAACCACTTTTTGCAGGGTTCGTTCTTCCCTACCGCGAAGAACTACATCACGAATCGCGCTAGCCATGATACGTTTAAAGTAATAGCCTGGAGGACAACAAAACAGATTAGTGCAATTTGCTCGCCATGGTGAACAAGTGCTGTAGGTACCATAGTCCGTGCAGATGCGGGTGAGAGTGAAGGGGGCGGGAAGACTGTCGGCTATTTGCTAGGCCAAACTCTCCGCAAACGCAACCTTTCAACATGGTGCCACGAGCCCGGCACATGCGCCGATTTCTCTGTGAGAGCAGCAAGGATGGGTCGTGGGAGCCAGGGGATGGTGATGCTGAGGAGTAGTACGAGCACGAGCTTCGAAGCGCCAGACGCAAGAGGCCCAAACGTCTTGCCCGCGCACGTCGAATGTCGCCGCGCCGTTTGTTCTCGACGCGCCCGAGTGGACGTCGCCGACACCACGGCAAGCCCACGGCAAATCCTGCGTCCCGTGCCCCAGCAGACGAAGCCGGCACCGCGGCAAGCACCACGGCAAGCCCACCGCACCCGAGGCGGCGTTTGCCCTAATGGCCGAAGCGCCCTCCCCAAGACGGAAGGCCGCGCGTCGGAACAAATGGCGCGGCGACAGATCAAGGATTGGCAGACTCTGGGATCCCTGGGCGCGCCATCCCTGACCTGTCTCAGGGTTTACGCTGTCACTTCCGACAGCCTTTGCCCAGCCAGCGCACCCGCCCTCGAGCCATACTTTCTCGAGCTCGTGCGCCGAGAGCGAGACGTCAACTTCGCCATCCCTCGAACAGGAGGCCCCGAGTTGGAACGCCCGCAACCGATACTGCCGAACATGGAACCACGAAGATCATCATTTAAGAAGTCTGGGCCAGCTGTCCGGAAGTTTCTTAAAACAAGCCTGGGCCAACTTCTGCCCTTAACGCTGGAGGGGCGAACATGCCCGAACAGTATGGCCAGCTTTCCAGCACGTTGGCCAAGAAACGATGGCCCAACTTCTCGGGAGGAGGATTCATAATCAGATGCTCGACTGTACTCGAGAGATTGGCCCCCGTGCCACCGTTGCTGGCAACTCGCACACGTTCACCCCAGAGCGGAACGGGATGATCGAAAGGAAGCAGTCGCCAACCTGCAGGCATAGGAGGGGGAGGAGGGATAGGAAGGAGACAGAGAGGGGTGGTGGGGCAAAACGCATGCGGACCAGTTACCAAGATAAGCACGGAAGGGGGAACGGGAGGATGAGGAATGAGGAAGAATGGTGATGAGGAAGAAAAGCTTCGAGCCTCATATCTCCGTTCCTCCTCCTCCTTCTCCTCGTCTTCCCTCCGCCTTATCTCTCCCCCTGCTCCTTCGCCTCCTGCTTTCTGAGAAAGGCCCGTTTTCGCTCCGTGGTCACTGAGGGGAATGGCGCCAGGACATCAGCAATCCTCCCCGCCTTCCTGGAAACTCAGTCCTCGGCATTGGGTGCCGCAGAGCGCTTCGAGGACCTGGGCCTCCAGATCAAGAGCGCCCCAGGCGGCCCCAGGCGCTTCCCCGGTCGGCCCGCGAGGAAGGTCTGAGAGCCGCAGTTCGGACCCCACGCTCCCAATATTCGGGAGACTCTCCATGGGGGGGGATCCCATGGGGGGGCAGGAGGGGATCCCCCCCAATGGGATCCCCAGGGGATCCTATGGGATCCCCCCCCCTTGGGATCCTATCCCCCCATGGGATCCCCCCCCATGAAGAGTCTCCCGAAATATGGCCTAAGCAACCCAGGCGCCCGGTCCTCAAGCCGTCTTCGGGGTCGACGTGAAGGCCCACGGGGCTCAGTTCGACCTGGTCGTGGTCAGAAGTGACGCGTGGGTGAGGTCTGGCTCCCTTCACACGGGCTCCCAACTTCGCGCTTCGCGCTGCGCGAAGCGCGAAGCGCGAATAACTTCGCGCTCTCGCGCCGCCCTCCCAAAGGGAGAATAGGAGGACGAGGAGGAGGGGGAGGAGAAACGAGGACCGCGAAGCGCGAAGCGCGAATAACTTCGCGCCCTCGGGGGAGCCCTTGCTTCATGACACGTTGTGGCACGCCATGACATGGGACAACTGCCTGTAGCTGTGGCGAGCCGGACCGTGGAATGAGGCGGAGGCGCAACAATTACGAACCCCGGTAACGGTAACCACGCGTGCAAACAACACAGCGGGATCATGGATTTTCTTGTGTGCAGCGCGCAGAATTTCATGATGTCCCCACACAGGGTTGCGAGGTCGCATATCGCGTACAATGATTTTGTTACATGTTCAACGCCGGTACCTGTTCAGCATGCGCGTGGGAAGCCGACGCGGCCTTGTGTTTTTCAGGGGCGTAGCGCGCAAGAGCAAAACCATCTTATCGGATGTTTAGCTCGCCCATGTGGTTGCGAGCATTAGCCAAACAGTCGGCTGCGGCAGACATGTTGCGATGGCCTGCAATTGGGAAGCTACAACTAGCGCGCTATCAACACGGACTTGCACCTCGCAGCACCGACTGTGTGGGTGGCGAGATGTTGAGTTGCATATGATGGTGCTCACTAAGGAGAGAGGGTGGGGACGAACTAAGATCTGAAAGATGAACATCACTAAGAAACGCCGATCGTATTCGTCATCCGTATCGTCGTGTGCATCCGTCATTTTCGCCATTACCCTTCATCACTCACCATTGCCATTCTTTATACAATGCCTTGGCGTGCGCCCCTTTCTCGGTATAACTAACGCAATCTTGCGTTGCAGCCTGAATATTGCCCGTATCAGCACCTTTACTATTCATCCCTCACCGTGCCTGAATACTCCCCCCCTGTAGGAAGACGTGCCCGACTTAGTTCTAGCAGCACCCGAACACAACACGGACTGCCCAGAGACCGCCGGACCTGTTGACCCCGCACCCGGGCGGCTGTGACCCTGCCCCCCTCCTCCTCAGAACGGCGACGCCGCGCTTCTTTTCGCAGCATGGGCCTCCAGAGGTCCGGATCTCCTTCACCAGGACGAGCAGGAATCCCGAGCCATTCCTTTGACGGTACCAGGGGGGGCCCCGATGGGCCGGAAATTGTCAGAAACCTCCCGCCGTGTCTTGCTCGCGACGCGAGGGGGTGCAATTTTCGAGCCGTAGCTCGGGTTTCCGGCGGCAGTTCGGGACGACCCGGGCACCCCAGAACGATATCGGCGAGGCACAGCTGCTGGAACGCATCCGGAGAAAAAGAAAAACCTCCGAGAACCTGCGCAGGCGTTCGAACAAAAGCCTGGTCCTGCAGACCCCCTGGGTCCTCCCCCTCCTCCTCCTCCTCTTCCTCCTCCTCCTCCTTCTCCTCCTCCTCCTCCTCCTCCTACTCCCCATCCTTCCCTGAGCGATGCCGCTGGCGGCAGCGAGGCGACGGTGGGCGAGGAAGAGAGGAGGAGGCATACGCTTGAGTTCCAGCCAACTATGTCCGATCACCGTCAGAAATGCGGATGAGGAGGAAGAGGTGGAGGCGGAGGAGGAGGAGGAGGAAGCAAGGGAGAAGGGAGGAACATCGAGGATGAGGATGAGGATTGCGGAGAAGAGGGACCGCGGAGGAGGAGGAGGAGGATGAGGAGGAGGATCGAGAATCGAGAAAGGACGACGCAGGGCGGATCATCGAGGCGGGACGCGCGGCGGCCCGACCACGGGCTGCGCGGCCAGCAGGCACAGCAT